TTTTTTTTTAATTTATTACAGTAAAAGACGCATTGCCACGAATTGCCCTCAGGACCTTCCCCCTCGCGTAGCACACACTTGTCCGTGGTCCCTCTGCTCTCTGAAGCAGGCTGGAGGCTTTCCGTGAGCGCCTTCAGCTGTGCTGCTGTGGCTGGGTGGGACCCGGAACTGGTGCAAACATTTACCTTTCCTGGTCATCTTGACCTTGGGGAAGAGCCGTAGTCACCCCGGGCTGTGTCCTGTGGATAAAGTGGATGAGGACACTGTCGTGGTTTTATGAGGCTGCTTTTCTGGTCAATGGCACGCAGCAGCAGTGTTCACCGTATTTTTGATCACATCTCATACATAGTCATGAAAGAGGACTGCAGAACTGCTGCAGAAGGGGGTGGGAATGACCGGACACACGTGTTCACAGCGAAGAGGAAGATTCTGAGGGGTGAATGGCAATGCCAGTTACACCGTTTTTTTTTGTTTGTTTGTTTTGTTTTTTAACTAAAATGTTCACACCAACTATACTTCATGAGGGCAGGGACCAGCTGCCTTCCTCTTTTCTTCCTTTTCCCCTTTCTTTCCCCATTAGTGAACGTTGAGGTTGTCTTCCTCTTGCACACTCGGACATTGACACGGTTTAAGCACGAGTGAATTGTGGCTGTGTGGACCAGTGTTTTTCCTTAAGCTTCACTCCTGATGAGAAGGTGAGAGTGAGCTAACAGGCCCTTGCTGGCCTCGATTCAGTCCTGTAAAAGTGAAGCATGTGAAGTCCCGACTTCTAAAGTAAAATTACACATGGAACTTAACGTTATCGGGAGCAGCAGTCACACTTACTGTAAACAAGTTGGTTGGCTCCATGAATACGTCAGCTCCTGAGTCTCCGTGAGCAGCTTGGCTTTGTTCTGGGTTGCAGTGTTGGAGACATTGATTTCATTCTTATTGCTCTAGTTGATGACAGCGACTAAAATCAACATTTAGCCTCTATGCATGTTTGGTTTCCTGGAAGATAAAGATGCAGACTTGTGCTGTCAGAAAGTTTATAAATGTGACATGGTGTGCAATGCAGTTTAACTACAGTGTTTGTCTTTGTAAAGTATTACAGGAAGAATGATTAGATTTATTTCTGTGCTTATTATAAATAAGGCCTGCTATTCATTTCTTTCACTGATTTATACTTTAGAAGTTACATGTAGTAATATCTTACTTTAAAAAAAAATCCATGAGAATTAAAGGTGTGCATTGTTTTTGTTTAAATAAAAATAAAGCTGAATCAACTTTAACAACTTTTACAAATGTAAAACCGACATTAACACATTCATATCGGGGCCCTAATTTGTATGTCTCACTGCTGGGTGGCTGAGAACCCTTGTGAGCCCCTCTGTCTGCGCTGGCTGGCATGGGACAGTCCCCTCTGTGGTATAAGCCCCCGGTGGAGTCACGCACGTGCTGCCAGTGGGTCAGGTTGTGGCGGGCATTAGTAAGATGCTGACCACTGTCCAGTGATGCAGGGCTCCCCCGTGAGCACTGCCTGAGCTGAGCCAGTGGCCTTTGCTGATGACTGAACTTGAAACGAAATCGTTCTGAGAGAGAACATGTATTTCAAGGGTCTTGAATTTTACGATTTTCAAAATCCTTTTAGGCCCCTCTGATTACATTAAAATGTATATGGTAATATGTCTCCGTTAAGAACTATTTCTGATTTGAGATCCAGGAGCTCAGTGGTAGAGCACTTGCCTAACATGGGCAATGCCTTGGGTTCAATCCCCAGAATGAAATAATAAAATAAAAGAATCTGGGTGCGGTGGCACACACCTGCAATCTCAGCACTCAGTAGGCTGAGGCAGGAGACCTGCTGTGATTTTGAGGCGAAGCTTGGCTACATAAGTGAGTTTAAGGCCAGCCTGCACTACATAGTGAGACCCTGTCTCAAAAAATAAAATAATAAAATAAAATAAAATAAAATAAATAATAATAAAATACTCACTCCAGTTTGACGAACACTATATTAAAGTTTAACACACTGGATAGATGAAAAGATGTTCAACATCACTAGTCATAAGGGAAATAAAAATGAAAACCACAATAAAATATGTTTGTATCCATTAGGATGATTATAATAAAAGAAATGGAAACTAACAAGTGTTGGCAAGAATGTGGCAAC